GCCCGATGTGGGGCTTGATCCCAGGACCCTGGGATCATGACCTGAGCCGGAGGCAGACGCTTAACTGACTGAGCCACCCAGGCGCCCCTTTTTTCTGCTTTCTTTAGAAAAATAATCATTGTGAGGCAGTGTCCTCAGCTGAGTATCCTCCTTCCAGCTTTTCTGGAGCCTGCTTGCTGGCTAGGTTGAGAGCTACATGCTTGCAAGTTTCCACGCAGTATAGGGAGCATTAGAGGCTAGAAGCCTAGAGCCTGGAGCATGGAGCCAAGTGAGCCAGCCTCCTTTGGGAAGGAGAGACCCAAACAGTGCTGTGAGGGGAGAGCCTGTCTTCTGCAGCACCTCAGATAGTGGCTGCCTCAGGCAGCCTCAGGGGCCGGCTCTGTGGCCTAATTCCTTTTGTAATTTGTACAATAGGCCAGAAGATGGGGCTCTTGACCTTGGAGTCAAGGGCCAGAGGCTCTTTCTCTACATTTGAAGTGGTGGAAAATAGACCCACGAGAGCTCCCAGGAATTTTCTACCTCCTTAGCCCTCTCCCTCCTATGCCCATTCATGCCCACTCCCATGGCTAAGACCTATCTTTCTGGGGAGAGGGGAATTCGGGGCACATCTTCCCTTTGAATACCATCCTTGGCCTCTCCTTGAATTACCACATTGCCAGAGCCATTCTATCTGACCCCCTGCCCCAGCTTTCCCCCTTAAACCCACCTTGCCCCAATGGCAGATCTGGCAGTATTGCATAGTGGCCAAGAACTCTAGAGTCAGATAGACTCATCCTTGACTCACCTCCCAGGAGGAGCTCTCCCAGATCACTCCATCCCCCATGCCAGTTACCTTCTATCGCATGACCTTGCTATTGACTTCTTAGCAGCCATCATAATCTGTAATTGTCTGTTTGGTTACTTGTTTACTGTCTCCCCACTAGACTGTAAGGCTCAAGAGGGCAAGACCGTGTTTTATTGTTCTTTCCCCAACATGCAACCTGAATACATAGGTTCTCAGTAAATGTATTTTGTATTAATAAATGACCAAAGCTCAGCTTCATGACTGCCTGATATTAAGAAAGCTGCTAAACTTCCCTAAGCCCCTGTTTTCTTACCAGTGAAATAGGAGAAATAATGGAGTTATTATAAATTTTACGTAACACAATGCATTTATGCGACAAAGCCTGGCGCCTGGTACATGGAAGTGTTCTCCAAAACTTTCAGCAGTGCCTTACTTTCTATTATATGAGAAAAGTAAAATCTGAATTAATTAGCTGGCTCTCCATAATTTGGCCATAGTTATTTTTTTGTTTTTTTGTTTCTTTTAGAGAGAGAGAGTGCAACAGTGTGCACCTGAGGGTGAAGGGAGGGGGAGAGGAAGAGGGGCAAAGAGAATCCTAAGCAGGCTCTATGCCCAGCTTGGAGCCAATGGGAAAGGTTGCAGGGTGGGGGGTGGGGGGGCTCTGTCTCATAATGCTGAGATCATGACCGGAGCCAAAATCAAGAGTCGGACGCTTAACCTTAAGGGACTGAGCCACCCAGGCGCCCCTGTTTGTTTTTTTAAACCACAATTTGTACTTCACTACTGCTCTTCTCTATAACTTTTTGCTTTGGCTCAAATCATGACTACTCTGAATGGGCCATGTACATTCCTATTATTATTATTTAAAGATTTTATTTATTTATTTAAAAAAGATGATCTATTTATTTGAGAGAGAGAGAGACAGAGATAGTGACAGAGAGCATGAGCAAGCACGAGGTGGGAAGAGAGGGAGAAGAGGGAGAAGCAGACTCACCACTGAGCAGGGAGCCCATTGTGGGACTTGATCCCAGGACCCAGGGATCACAACCTGAGCTGAAGGCAGACAGTTAACCAACTGAGCCACCCAGGTGCCCATTTTTAAAAAGATTTATTTACTTATTTTAGAGAGAGAGAGATGGTATTTGCACGCGCGTGCGCGTGCGTGCGTGCGCACACAAGAGTCAGGGGAAGGGCAGAGGGAGAGAATCTTCAAGCAGACTCCCTGCTGAGCATGGAGCTGGACACCAGGCTCAATCCCAGGCGATGAGATCATGACCTGAGCTGAAGGCAAGAGTTGGACGTTCAACCAACTGCGCCACCCAGGTGCGCCCATTCCTATTATTAAGTTTTTGCCAGTAGTTGAGATGCTTGCTCTCCTTACCTTGGCTCAATTATTTTCAGATTTAGCTTTAACCCATGTCCTCTGTGTCATGGTCCTTTAGTGTCCCAGGTCATAAAAATCATTTTCTCTTCTGAATTTTTATAATCTTTGTTGTCTACATTTCTCATATGGCTCTTATTCTTTTTTTTTTTTTTTTAAAGGTTTTATTTATTTGACAGAGAGAAAGACAGCCAGAGAGGGAACACAAGCAAGGGGAGTGGGAGAGGGAGAAGCAGGCTTCCCGTGGAGCGGGGAGCCTGATGTGGGGCTCGATCCCAGGACCCTGGGATCATGACCCGAGCCGAAGGCAGATGCTTAACGACTGAGCCACCCAGGCGCCCCTCATATGGCTCTTATTCTATGTTTTATTATCTGTCATCATATTCACATGTCTTCTGTTTCCCTGATTAGACTATAAGCCCTTCAGAGATATGTATTATATTTTAAATTTGTTTTCATCTTCAGTGCCATTTGGGCCTGTACATAGTAGGTGTTGAATATGCTTTTGATCGAATTAAAAACATATATATTTGTTAACTACTTTCTATATAACCAGCATTCTTTGAGGCTCTGTGGAGTTCAGAAGGACATAAAAAATAATTATCTTCAAAAAACTTACAATATTATAGTAAGTTAAAGTCAATATATAGTTAAAGTACTTAAATAACCACAGTGTGATAACTGATATAAGAAAGGTATGGAGTGCTGTGAGGCTTCAGAGAAGGGAGATATGGTATCTTTAAGAGGTGTTGGAGAGAGTGGGATAAAGGAAGGTTTCTTGGAAGAGATAGCCTTTGAGATTGACTTTGAAGGATGGCTAAGATTTTGATGGGCAAAAATGGGGGGCAGTGAATTCCAAATTCAAGGATTCAAGGATTAGTGAAGTGATAAACAGAGACTGTGGCAAAGAATGCTAACGCTCAGAAACAGGACCAGGGGCCTTAGACAGGAGATCAGAAATATGGTTCTGCCCCAGGGACACTGAAGCATAACCTTGTGTCAAATTTCAGGGCCAACGCAAGTTGTGGTATACAGGGGTTGAAATTTAACATGTACCCGACTATGTTCTCCAAATGTAGTTTCTTTTGAGGCAAAGAATCATTTGGACTGTTTCCCCCCCCCCCCCCATAATATGGACTCACCTACAGTCTGATGTGATAGTGCATGAAAGGCAAAAGGCCCCTTGCCTCCTCTTGGGGACAGAGGATTGGTTGGATTATGGCCAGCCTCTCTTTTGCTTTCAAACCCAAATCAAATTGAATGCATTACTCATGATTTTCTAACCTTGCCCTAGATCAGTAGTTCTGTTGTTAAATAATAATTTGCCTTAGATCATTTCTTGGAAAAGTTGGAAGCGTTTTTGTGGAATTATTTCAGCAATCAGCCTAGGTTCAACTCTGTGCTTTTCTCTGCCCACCTAAGACCAGGGGAGAAGACCTAAGTCGGAGCGAGTCTGTGGAGGGGGTCTGATCACTGCCTGGCCCGCTTCTCTTTAATGCACGTTAGTCTGGCCATTAGTTCAGACATTAACAAGTAATTTTAGAAGGCCCTTCCCCCTCATCCTCTGGTACTTCCTTCTTCAGTCCCAAGGGCCGTTTCCTCAGAATTTGAAAACCATTACCTAAGTAATAACATCAGAATTAGACAAAGCCGACACTTTCTCAGTTTTCAAGGGTCAGGTGCAGCCGCAAATAGAAGCACGGGATTTTCAATTTCTAGCAAGCAGTTGGAAGGACCTTTAAGCCCAGAGGCCCCTGAAGGGAGGGAGGCGGTTTCCAAGGCAACCGGGCCCGGAGCGGTAGCCTCCCCAGGCTCCCTCCTCCCCCTCCTCCTCCCGGTAGCCCAGGGTACCGCCGGACAGCGTCCTCCTGTGCTCCGCGCGCTGATTGGCCGCACAGCCCGCACGCTGATTGGCTGCGGCGAGGCCTCGCGGGCCGGTGGCAATGGAGGCGGCGGCGGTTGATGGTTGACCGTTGGCTCCGGGGTAGGGGTCGCCGCTCGGGCGATCGGCTCAGAGCCGACCGGAGCGCGCGGGCTGCTGACGCTCGGCCTGGAGCCCTCGGGCCAGACCTAGCTGGGTTCCGCCATGCCGGCCGGCAGTAACGAGCCGGACGGCGTCCTCCGCTATCAGGTAGGGCCCCGCCTCCCGCCCCTCCCCGGGGCTCGGCCTCCTCATCCTCTGCCCACCCTCCTGCCTCTGCCCCCGAGCCGGGCTTCGCAGGCCACTCCCTGAGGGCGAGGGGAGGCCCGCCAGCGACACCAGGGGGCGCTCCGGGCGGCTGGGGATCGGGCCGGGGCCGCGAGCGGGTGACCTTGGGCCGAACCTGGGAGCCGGCGGATCACTGCCGCATCCCTTGCGCGGCCGGCCCGGGGAGCCCTGAAGGCGGCGGGCGGTGACCTCTGTTCTCCTCGGGTACTCCTTCTTGGGAGGGAGGCTGGCTTCTGGCCTCGCGGCGTCTTGTTGGAACGCGGGAGGAAGGGTGGCCAAGGAGCTTGCTCTGGTGGGGCAGGTCTCCTCTTTGTGTTTTTATTTCTGGAGACTTCTGGTTCCTCAGTGGTTCAGAGAAAGAGCTGGAAAGACTGGAGGCTGGGACCAGACCCCGCTAGTGTGGCCAGCTTTATGACTTTCTCCATCCCCTTGGGCAGGCATCTGGAAACTTCTGGGAAGGGAAGGGGAAATGGGCTGGGGATGTGTTGAGAGGTCAGGAACAGGTGTTTTATTAAGGGAATGAGGAAACCAGATTTAAGTATGTGATAACTGTTGGGGTGGCAAATGTCAGGGAAAGCGTTGGATTAGGTGTCAGAGACTGTAGGCTCAAATTCTACATCCGCCTTGCACTGGCTTTGTGACCTTGAATACGTCACTTGCCTCCTTGAACCTCAGTCTCTCCATCTAGTAAAATGGGGATGGTAATACCTGCTTTGCTTACCTCACGGAGTTGTTTTGAGGACTAAATGAGGTGCTATTTGTGAATGCTTTATTGTGTGACAACCAGTAAGTGAGTGGTAGCTTATTGAATTCTCACCCCCCCCTTTCCTGTGCAGTCAGGTGGTCTAGTTACTGCTCTGGAAAGAGAGATGGGGGGGTCAAGTCTGAAGTGGAGGGGTGTGAAGAGGATGATGGACCTTCTTAGGAAGGATGATGGGTCTTGGAAACAAGTGCATGTTGATGTCAGTGATGTTTTCTGTAAGGAGGCAGGGGAAACAGTCTGAGTGTGTAGCAAAATGGGCATCAGACACTGACTCTTCTTCCTCCTGTAATAGTTTGCCACTAGAAGATCCATGATTCCTTGTTTGCTTGCTCCATCAAAAAGGGAACCATATCTAAGATTTTGGAAAATCTTTTCATATCTTAAGTTTATCCAATGTATGTTGGGGAGACAGTGATGAGCAAAAATAGGCAATGTTCTTGCCCCCTGGAGCTTCCTGTCTTGGGGGGTGGGGAGAAATAACCATTTTTAATCAAATAATCCCATAAGTAAATGTATTATTATGAACTGTGATAAGTGTTTCGAAAGAAAGATAGGCAGTGCTCTGAGTGGTTCCAGCCTTGGTCTTAGATGAGAGAAGAGTTTGCTAAAGAAGAAAATTAAAGGTCTAAAGAAAGAGTGTCAACTGAGGGAAGAGGGAGATCAAAGGACCTTGGAGACAAAGAGAATAGCAGAAAGGGGCATATCTAGTTAGAGGGCCTGAAAGAAGGCCAGTGTGGCTGGAGCCACAGGGAGCAACGGTGGGGGGCGGGGAGGTGGTGTGAGATACACTCTGGGGTTGTAACACACAGGGTCATTATGGCCCATCCTGAGAAAGTTGGGATTTATTTGAGGATCAAGGGGAAGCCACAAAGGGGTTTAAGCAGGGAGGGGAAGGAGAGAGAGAAAGATTGCAAGAAAGAGAGAGCACAAGTGCATGAGAGTGGGGGGGGGATGAGAGAGCAAGCACCAATGAGATCATGATCAGATTTTCCTATTGAAAGATTTCTCTGGCTGCAGTGGGAGGAATAGAATAAGCAGGAATGAGTGTGAAGAGACAGTGTCCTTAACATGCAGAATGTGTAGCAGTTGTATTGTCAAGATCATAATAACCCATAAGCTTCTGTTAGTGCTCTGTGAAATTTATAATTCCTGAGTGCTTCTGGGGTAGAATAGAAAATAATTATCTCCTTTACATCTAGTTCATGTAACTTTCACGAGTGGTGGGGTGAGGAAAGGAAAAGGAATAGAGCAGGAACAGCACGACCTCATGAAGGCTGAGTCAGGTGATGGGCAAATGGGCACTTGAGATATGGGGGAGGAAGAAAAATGAGGGCAGGAGGAGGAAAGGAAATAGGGATGACCTGGAAGACACATAGTCAACCGATTGAAAATTACCCATGAAGGCTCCTATGTGCCAGTTAGGCTCTGTGTGTGTGTGTGTGTGTGTATTATGGGGGGATGGACCTTACAAAGCGAGGAGATTGTGTAACTTGGTGTAAAGAGAGATTCTAAGCATCACATCTAAATATCATAAGTCTAGGCTGTTTTCTCTGGTTTGGACTACTGCACTAGCCTCCTACACTTCCCTCTGCTCTCTCTTGCCCTTCTACAGTCCACCTTCCACATGGCAGCCAGAGAGAGCTTTTAAAAACACAAATCATGCCCCATCCTATCTTGAGACCCTTCAGTGGTTTCCCGGTGCATTTTAAAATAAGATCCAAACTCATCATGGCTTACCAAGCTTCAGTGTGCTCAGCACTGACTGCCTTTCCTCCATTCTCTCACCACGCACCTCTGTACTGGCTTTCTTTCCATTTCTTTAATATGGCAAGCTCCTTCATGCTTTAGGATCTTTGTTCCTGTCGTTTTCTCTGCCTAGGACATGATTCTACCCAGGCTTTTTTGTGACTGAACTCAAATGTTACCACCTCAGAGTGGCTTTCCCTGACCTCCACCCACAGTGACTCTCTTTCATACGATCCTGCTTTATGTTCTTAATAGCGTTTTTAACTCATCTGAAGTGTTCTTGTTTGATTTCTATATTATCTTTTAGAATGGAAACTTCTTGGGGGCAAGGACCAGGAGGAAAATCTTGTCATACAGAACAGTTCCTGGTATAAAATAGGTGCTTAGTTGCTTGAGTGAATGAATGACTTTCCTATATCCAAAGCCGATGCGCTTCTCCTCAAGGAGCTCATGGTCTTGTCGGGATTAGCACAGAGCATCAGGGGCCCATTGCTTTTCCCTCCTCTTCCCCTGGAATATTCCATTTAGCTTTCAAGGTCTGGCTCTATATCACTATCAGAATTCATCATTCTGTCTTCTCTGCTCACAATGCCCACCAAATGCTATTACTGTCTCCAAAGTACGTGCCTTTAATCACTCTGCGTTATGGTAGCTTGTGTCTTTGAAACCTAGGCCAGTGCCTGACTGGGAGTGAGCACTAGTAAATGTTTGGGAAGATATGTGGCAAGGTATACAATGGATGTATTGGATTAGGAAGAGATTGGACTGAGGGAGGCCAGCTAGGAAGCTGTAATTTGGGATGACTTTTTTTTTTTTTTGTAACGTAGGATGACTTAATGAAGGCCTGCATTACTGAATTTTGATGAGATTTCTGGAGGTGGTTATTGAAATTTTAGGAGTCAATGTGCTCTTAAAGGGGTTAGGTAGTAAGGGAGGAGGAAGAGCAGAAAACTTTAGGGAGAGCCTCTAGTTTGGACTGGAACTGAGGACATCTTGTATCTTCAAAGTTCTCCTGATCAGCACTTTCAGAATTGAGCAGAAAGAAGTGCTGGAGGAGAAGGCTGGAGTGGTCAGAACCATCAGCAATTGAGCCAGTGCTGGGAACTGCAGGCAGGTTCAGGGATGGTGTAAGTGACAGAGAGGCGAGCAAGTGAGTTTGGGTTTCCAAGGCTTTTCTGTGAATCAGGCCTGCTCAGAATGGAAAATTCAGCCCTGGGAAATGGATGATAATTAGGAAGGATGGCTGATGAGAAGGACTGATGAGAAGAGAGTCACATTCCCTATCTTCTGTGGACCTGGAAAAACTCGTCCAAGCCAAGACTTCCTGAGGGAGACCTGAATGCTAGCGCCTAATGACTGGCATGTGTTGGAGCCCAGTTAACATTTGCTGAATGTTATTGAATAAAAGTATCAACCATGGCATTTCTCCTCTCACTACATTGTAGCGTATAATCCATATTCCTCCACCCTCTTCCAACATACACTAGGTGTTCTCTTTCTACGTGGGAGTGGGGGTAAATTGTGAGCATCCTCTGTCCCTGACTTTCCCAGCTCCACTGGGGAGCTTCAGTAGGAGAGGTGTGGACTGTCCTGCCAAGCAGAGAATTGTGGTAGTCTGGGGGACAATTCAGGTTGCAAATTTACTTCCTTCAAAATCTGTAGATAATTGCCTTAGCTCAGGTTTGCCTTGGCAGTGTAGACAGGGCTCTCAGTCAAGACTGCCTAGTACTAGTCAGGACACAGAAAGCAACCATGTTTATTCTAGATCTGCTGCTAGGTAACAGCAACAAATCTTAGATAATGGAGAGAGTGGTTGTTCCTGTAAGGCAGTAATAAGTTTACTCTGGTCTTGGTAGTTAGGGAGCCATAATGTGTGTATTAGTTTCTGTTGCTGCCATAGCAAATGACCACAAATTTGGTGGCTTAAAACAACACAATTTAGTCCCACATCGGGCTCCCTGCTCGGCGGGGAGTCTGCTTCTCCCTCTGAACCTCCCCCCTTTCATGTGCTCTCTCTCTCATTCTCTGTCTCTCAAATAAATAAATAAAATCTTTTTAAAAACCCACAAATTGATTATCTTACAGTTCTATACTTGACAAATCCAACGCAGCTCTCACTGGGCTATATCAAAGTGTTGGCAGGGCTGTGTTTCTTTCTGGAGGCTCTAAGGAAGAATCTGTTTCCTTGACTTCTGCAGCTTCTGAAGGCTAACTGCATTCCTTGGCGCCTAGTTCCCTCCCTCCACTCAAAGCTAGAAGCATAGCGTGTCTCCAACCCTGCTTTTGGCATCACATCTCTTTCTTGGACTCTAGTCTTCCGCCCCCCTTGTCCACTTTTTAGGGACCCTGTGATTACATTGAGCCCACCAGATAATCCAGGATAATCTCCTTATTTTAAGTTCAGCTGATGAGG